ATGTGTACTGTTTAATAAGAAACTATTTTGTTCTGTAAACCTTCATCTAAAGTGAGAATAGCAGCACAACTGGAAGAGTGTAGTCAATGTCACTGAACTGTGCATGTAGAAATTTTTGAAATGGTGTCATCTTTGGCTATGTATATTTTCACCAAAAAAAAGGTCGAGAAGGGAGAGGGTTGACATGTCATGGGGTTGTTAACCAATGTCATAATACAGTATGTGTACTACTGTTTAATGAGAAACTATTCTGTAAACCTTCACCTGAAGTACAATTTAAAAAAAAAACGCTAACAAATTTTTTTAAAAAAAGACACACACCCACACACATACACAAGAGAGAGTTGGCGGGGGGAGGGGGGATGGCAAACAGGAGACCTCAGGTCCCATCTGAAAACTGCAGCTATGACTGACTCCATCCTGTCACGGGCTGTCAGGCCAGGAAGCTTGACACTGGCTGCCCGATCTCCTAAGAGGCCAGAACCTTAGACTGTTAAATGAAATCTCCTAATTTTGCAATGCTGGCCACCAGTTTGTGATCTTTGTCTTGGATTATTTCCTATCTGCTGGTACTGGGGAGAAAACTCTGTGATGTAATTGGAATTAGCAGAGAGTGCATCTGGCAGCAGCTTCTGCCCCACCCAACTAAGAGCAGTGTCTTTGGCAGGCTCTGTGAAGTGCCTCCACTGGAAAATGACCTTTTGGGGCAAAACCTTCAGAGCAATCATAATTCTAAGAGGGGGAATCATAAACATCAACAAGTTTTACAAACAGGCTCCCCTACCCCTATCAGAGTCCACAATGCTCTTTACCTGTTTTATGTTCTAGACTCTACATCATACAATCTCTTATTAAAAGAGGCTTTCAGAGCTCAAAAAAGGACAGAGGGTTAAAAACCACTAATCTAGGATGGCAAAATCCTTCTGCTTTACTGGCTCTTCTCACAAAGCCTATAGCCTTCTTTCTTTGTAAAACAGAACAAAAATTATTATGGGCTCATTCTGAGCTCTTATATTTGCTTACCACCAGTTGCTGTTGAGTCAATTCCCCGACTCACAGCAACCCCATGTGCATCAGAGTAGAACTGTGCTTCAGAGGGTTCTTAGTGACTGAATTTTCACAAGTAGATTGCCAGGTCTTTCTTCAGAGGCAGCTCTGGGTAGACTCAAACCTCCAATCTTCGGGTTAGCAGTCGAATGTGTTAACTGTTTGCACCATCCAGGGACTCCTTATATTTGCTACATGACCATAACTAGCTCATTTTCCAAGTAGTTTTTCTTAAGTTTATGCAGGCAAAAAAAAATAGACGTTAGAGTTTCATTTCTACCTTTCCTCCTTATTATGCAGGCCATTTACTCTTACCACAAATTGTGTGTGTGTTTGTATGCACGCATGCAAATGTGTACATTTGTGTACATTTGTGCACATGTGTGTACTCTCTTCCTGACTGATTACTTTGTTTTACTTTGAAAGCACCCACTAACGGTCAGCTATCACTGCTGTCATTGTCCTTCCTCGGTGTGTGTGAGGAGATGAGAGGCAGGCCATGCAGGGTGAGTATCAGCCTACCTGCATTGTTACCAAGTCTCACTGTCCGCCTCCAGCCCCCTCCCTCCCACAGTGGCTCCCACACCACTTCTGTAGGCTTCCTGGAGTGGGGAAAAAAAAAATTCACTATTCTAGAAATACATAAATAACAGACTATGCTTCAATATTCTAAATTTAAGCTTACTGGGATAATATTTTTACCTTAATTTTGTCTACCCAAACTACTTTTATTCTGAAGAGGAGAAGCTATTTTGAAACTTCACAGACATTTTAAAATTTCATGGATTTTTTATATTATTTAAGATAAATTCAAAATGTAGAAAAAGATCTGAGACTAACATATTCCTGGGATGTGACAACACACTCAATCTTGATCTTTGATTTCCAACTGATAGCTAAGGTCATTTATTGTGGGAAATAATTTATGATAGTATTTTTTGTTGTTTTTATTGCCTAGACACTGTTCATTAGAGGGAACCAATTACACAGTAGCTATACATTAAAAAAAAAAAAGAAAGTTAAAGGTGCAACATATTACAGTTAAAAATCAACAAAGCTGAGTTGCTTAACACATTTATATTTTAACTTGATAATATATAATAACATTTTCATTTTAATTTCTACTATTCACTGAGTGCACACTATGTGCCAGACACTGCTATAGGTGGTGAGTAAGTGCCAGAGCCAAAGATCCAAACTCGGATCTACATGGCTCTAAACCTGGTATTTCTCTGTGTGTTCATATATTTGACAATTCCTGGTGTCAAAAGTGAGATCCAAAGCAGCTGACTGGAGTCCCCCAGAGCTCTCACTGGACACAGGCATGGTACCTGCAAAAGCCCTTTTTGACTTACTGCCTCCATGAAGCATTTGGAAGTCATCTTGGTAAGCCCCCTTAGATTCTTGAGCTCCACTCCTTTTGCATTTTGAACTTGAATCCAATATTTATTTTGAGTTTGGTGAAATTTGTTGTTTTGTTGCAGTTAGATCTGTCTTAAAACAGGTTCTGCTAAATCCAAGGAAGCAGCAGATTTTCCTAGCAGAACTCTGGCTCACTACATAGCCAAGAACTATAGTTCTAGGTCTTATTTGCATTTGGATTTATGGTTTCAGCTCACTAACAACACTCTGCCAAATCAGTGATCACTCTGAAGTACTTAACAATTGGGAACACTAGTATACTTAAGGTCTAAATTAGAAAACATGGCACCAAAACCATACAGAAACAATGGCATGTTTATTTTGATTGGTATTCTGAGGCTTCTAAATGTATTCAGGATTCTAAAATAGCCTCTTTGAAAGACACTGTTTCAACACTGACCGAACGTAACCTTAAACTCCTTAACGAAACTATTGCTTTACAAGAAAGATACCCTGGTTCTTCTCTCCCTCTGCCCCCTTTACTTGACTTTACCTCCTTACTCTAAGTGCTCAAATCTCTCTGAGATAACCCTTTGCTCACTCTGATCTCCCTTCAGATCCTAAACCTTCCAGGGCCCCTGTGCCCCAAATGCCTTTTAAAATAAAACCCAGAGAAGAACAGGAAAACAAATCACTCGTCATTACTTTTACGCCCTGGTATAAAACCTAGTTAAGGACTATGGAAAAGGAACTTCCTAACCCTGTGGAAGACCCACAGAAATTTACAGAGAAATTTAGGATATTAATTCATTCCTACCAACCAGGGCTCCCTGACTTATCAGCTAATATACATACTGGTGGGTCCAGCAGAAGCCCCAAATTGGATCCAGTTAGAGGAACTCAAAAACACTGAATGAAGTTTAGAAGCTGGCACTGCAACCCCAGCTGAATTTTTAAATGACTTTAAGGCTTTAGCTTATAAGTTATCAGAAGCTATACCAAAAGACTTCCCTAGAAAGATTCACTGGGCCAAAATTCAAGGCTGCCAACTGGGGACCAGACAAAACTGTATACAAATCTTTCTCTGAACATGCAGGTCTAGAAATAAAAGGCACTGGAATAGCTTTTAACTCTATGTTTGTTAATGGCCTTAAAACTGAACTAGCCATCCTGGTCAAAAGACATTGTTTAGACTGGGAAATGGTTCCAACAGTGGAACTAGCACATTTAACTGAACAACTGTTTCAGATACTTCAAATTGATAAGACAAATAAGCACGATCACCTTATGACTTTACAACTTCAACAGCTCCAATCTTCCAGACCTGGCAATCCCCTAGTTGTTAAACTCGCTGGAATTTGCAATTACTGAAAAAATCCTGGGCACTGGAAAAAAGAATGTCATAAATTACAGACAAAACTCCAAGGACCTCCCCTGCCGAGGCTCCGAGGAAGCGAAGCTGTCAGGCTGCAACTGGCTTTGCCCCTCAATTCCCAAGGTGAAGCTATAGTACTAATTAATGGTGAACCTTGCACCTTTTAATCGATACTGGTACCACCTCGTTTGCAATTAACCCCATTTCTTTATCACAACCTATACCTCGGAGTACAAAAACTGTTGATATAATGGGGGTTTCTAATGTTACTCAGCATGTCACCCAGTCCCTTCCCATTTCAGTTTCTGTAGGTTCAGTGACCAATTGCCACTCGCTCCTTTTATGTGATACTGCCCCTGTAAATCTCTTGGGAAGAGATCTGTTGGGAAAAATGAGACTGTA